CTATTGATCATTTGTTTTTTATCTCGTATATAAAATTGTATCCGAGTAAGGTTTTTTTTTTTTTTTTACAAAAAGCAAACTTTCAATATAACATAGCATGAATCTCCGGGGGCAACAACAACCCCCCTAATGGCCATGAAAATTTGTTCGACGTACCTTTAGACAGGCCAACTGACAGCTCGCCGTTTGGGGGACACTGCAGCATGAACGACCAATCCAATCTGAACCACGATTTACTTCTACGAAGAAAATCAGGAAACTTAATATTTACTTAATAAAATTAATAAAGCAGTTGTGTTTCTAATCATTTTTTTGGATATTGATAATCAGTTAAACTTTTGAGCGTTTTTGTTTGGTGAGAAAAAAAATATAAGGAATAAGGATGGGTTTGTGTGTTTGTAGTTTAGCACAAAGCTACAAAATGGGCTATCTGTGCTTTGCCCACCATAGGTATCGAAACCCAATTTCTAGCGTTGTAAGTCCGCAGAATAAGGATGGGAAGGAGGGCCAATGTTTTTAGAAAGGCAGTGTAAAAATGTTTTGATTTTTAACCTTTAAATTTCATCTTAATTCGAAGGTTGAAAAGCGATAAAACGAAAAGACAAAATTATTGTATGAGATACAAAAAAGTAGACAAATTGAGTAAGATTCTGTTAACCTTTTCTTTCTACTTCACGGAGGGTTTGTTTTATTGTTCGTTGTTAATCGCAACAATGGGCCATCTATGCTTTGCCCTTCACGGGTATAGTTGGTAAAAGAGTTGCCCAAGAGTTTGCGGTGGGTGGTGTTAACTAGCTGTCTTCCCTCTAGTCTATCACTTCTAAATTTGGAATGGCTAGCACAGTTAGCCCTCGTGTAGTTTCGCGCGAAATTCAATAAACAAACAATTCATTATAATCTTTGAGCGTAGGGAGGAAGAAGTCAAACCTGAACCAGACCCTCCGAGCTCTTCAAGACCTTTCTCCGATAAATGGATGGATCCGACCTTTGAACTTAAAGGATGGTATCAATGACTCTTGTAATAAGACACATTACCCAATTCCTATGGATAATATTCATACATAAGCCAACCTATCATTTACTGTTTAGGCTTGAAGAATATGGAAGAACCAATATCGCCAATTTTACAAGTAACAAGTTGGCTTCTTGTATGAAATTGTTTGTTTTGAATTTCGCGCAAAGCTACACAAGGGCTATCTGCGCTAGCCGTCCCTAATTTAGCAGCTAGTCATCACCACCCACTGCCAACTCTTGGGCTACTCTTTTACCAACGGATAGTGGGATTCACCGTCACATAATAACGTCCCCACGGCTGAACGGGCGAGCATGTTTGGTGAGACGGGGATTCGAACCCGCTTCCTCTCAGATTGCGAGTCGTGCGCCCTAACCACGTGGCCATGCCGGGCCGTTAGGGATTATCTAAAAAAATTCATGGTAATATTAAAATTTCCTGATGATCGTATTTTACATGAACCCTTATTCTTTAATCCTTTTATTGTTGAAAAATGTTTTATAATGAATAGTTTTAAAAAGTTTTTGTCATTAGTGGAGAGATTTTCTATGAAATATTTCCTCGATTTTTCGTACCAAATGTTGTGGCTGAAAAAATGCAACTTACTGTTTTCTGAAAGATTTAATTGAGGTTTATGATAAGCTATTAAAGAAACGTCCAATTTAGCTAGTAGACTACATTAGGTCGGATAATCCTCCTTCGTGATCTAGCTTTCGGATGTTTCTTTAATCTTATGTTTCGGATTAAAAAAATTGGATAGGATCTGTGTGTACAAAGGTTGAATCAGCTGTATCGAAGAGAGAGTTGAGTACGTTATACTTAAACGATTTTAGATAAGAAACCAACAAAACAGAGGTGTAACGGAATGTACCCGATCTTCATTTTGACATTCTTTGGCATTTCGTAAGTAGTATGATGCCATCAAACAATTGAT